GGGGCAGGTCAGGTATTCCCGGAGAGCTGCAGCAGGGCTCGCCCCTCTGCCAAGAACAAGGCTCTGGCTGCACCCAGCGAAAAGAGGAGAAACCAGCAGAGAAACCAGCAATTCTGCCTAAGAAGGGAGAGCCCAGGCGCGTCTCCATCTCGTAATGGGCGTGTGGAGGCAAGCGGGCGTTACCGCCTGCTCGGGGTCCCTGGCCAGGCCTCCCCAGCTCCTATGTGAGTTGCAAAGCACATAAACTAGCATTTTGCCTGTCCAGGGCTGTAACGAGGCGGGATGACTGCAAATCCTCCACCAGCCTGCTAGGCTGCTGTGTGTTTGGAAGCCTGCAGGCGCCGTGGGGCGTGTTATTTTGTGTTTCCTTAGGGGGCAGGGCTGCTGACGGCAGGTCACGGCAATTACAGGCTTGGCCAAACACGGGGGATCTCTCACGCTGGCCAACAGCCTCGCCTCTGCTGCCTGGCCAGCGCGGGGCAGGGGGCCAGGCCACGCACGGCCATGCAAGCCTGGTTTTCACGCCAGGTCCTGCTCCTCCTTTCCCTAGGGCCCGTCCAGGCGCAAGGCAAAGCCAGGACCCGCTGTTAGCTGCCAGCCCTGCCTCCTCATGGCCCCAGCTGATGGGAAAACACGTACGGATCCATCCCTGCCACACAGGGCCGGGTATTTGCCGTCTGCCCTTTGCCGGCAGCGAAGCCGGCAGAGCCACACACAGAGAAAAAGGCTTTTAGTTTTCTTAAAACAATTTATTACTTCAATTTTATATAAAAACCATACAATCAGTTAACACTAGGCCATTGCTGGCTTCCCAGCCCACATCAGACCCTTTTCCCATGATAAAAAAATACAAACCACGACAACAGCTAAACACAGAGTTCAGAATTTCAGTAAAGCTCGTCGATTTCCGAAAGCGCCTTTCATTGACTGCGCGATAATTACACCTGGCACGACACAGAAGGAAATCATATCGTAATCTGGGATACAGAAAAATAGAAATCTGCCTGGAACTAGTTTATCAAATATAATTCCCTCACGTATAGCGCGTGACGGCACATCTTTGGTCTGCGTTTGTCGATCACCTCGCCCCACTCCAGCGGAGGCGCAGAGCTGGGGCCACCCCGCTTCTCCGGCACTGGGTTCCCGAGCCGAGCGCGGTGGCGGGTCGGCGGTTGCGCCGGGGCTGGGAGCACGAGGTATTTCGGAGAGCGCCAGAGAAAAACCTTTTCCCCTCCGCGGCAAAGGGAGGGAGGCGGCGGGATCCTGTCCCCGCCGGGGAAGGGGAGCAGATCCTGGCCCGTGCAGCCGGGAGCGCCTCGGCTCCAGGACGAGGAAGGGACCGAATGGCTCCATGCCCTGCCTGGAGCCGAGGGGGCGGCCAGGAAACACACAGGCTCCCCAAAAAACGCCCCCAGACCCGCTGACCCCGAGCTTCCCCTGCGCTGACTGAGGGGGACGTGGACACCAGGTTGAGGGGGTGTTGGAGGGGGGTTTGGCCGCCCCCGGGTGAAAGCCAACGCGAGTCCAGTGGGGTGAAATGGGGTGAGGCGCCTGTGGCGGGGGGGCGGCG